AAGAACTGAATCAATCTCAGCACGTCCCTATTCAAGAGACATTTCCATTTCTTAATATCAATGGTTGGTGGCACAGGCTAATGTATCAGTGAAGGTATTTGCTTGTAAATTGGTGCATGCTTGAAATAAAATCTTGGTTTATTGAAGAATTGTTTCCTTTTTGTAGATTCTCCAATGGCGCCAGCCACTGTAGAAAACTGCAGCCCCGAAGCTGTGTGGCCAAAGAATGAACCTCTGGACATGGAAATGCCCCCAACTGCACTGCAGCACGACTTCTTCAGCAGCCCTGAGCTCTGGATCAGCTCTCTGCCAAGTATGTATATGGATTTGTAGTGCTTCTGTCATTGTACTTTAAAAAAAGAAAAAAAAAAAAAGTTTGCTTGTCAGCATGGAGAACGGTGTCTGGTTTAAACATCGCCGTGACTGCAGCACGGGTCGCGCGGTGTGTCTCTCCTGCTGATGCCATGCATGCAAGGGTCCAGGAGAAGCCCTACTGACAGTTTCTTTCTCAGTGACAGACCTAGAAATCAAGTTTGAGTATCGAGGAAAGGAGACTGGACCGACGACGACTGTAAGCAACCCGCAGGGATGCAGACTTTTCTACGGAGAGCTGGGCCCTATGCCAGACCAGGAGGAGCTCTTCGGGCCTATTAGTTTGGAGCAAGTAAAGTTTCCAGGAACAGAGCAGATCACCAATGAAAGGCAGAAGATCTTCACAAGTCGGCTGCTGGATGTTATGGACAGGGGACTGATCCTGGAGGTCAGTGGCCATGCCATCTACGCTGTCAGGCTCTGCCAGTGCAAGGTGTACTGGTCTGGTCCCTGCGCGCCTTCCTCCACCACACCGAATTTGATCGAGCGGCAAAAGAAAGTCAAACTCTTCTGTCTGGAAACGTTCCTAAGCGGTAGGTAGCTTCTGCTTCTGGAAAATAGCTTTGGATGCTGGTCTGGGCACTTGGTGGCGCTACTGGAAAGGGTGGTTTGCCCTGGGTGCACCGGTTGATTTGCTCTTGCATGGAGCCCGGGTAGGGGCCACGGCTTCCCTGCCTTCAGCGGACCATGGAGCAGGAACATGTCAGAAGAGAGTCAACGTGCGCACATGGAAATGCCCCCAACTGCACTGCAGCACGACTTCTTCAGCAGCCCTGAGCTCTGGATCAGCTCTCTGCCAAGTATGTATATGGATTTGTAGTGCTTCTGTCATTGTACTTTAAAAAAAGAAAAAAAAAAAAAAGTTTGCTTGTCAGCATGGAGAACGGTGTCTGGTTTAAACATCGCCGTGACTGCAGCACGGGTCGCGCGGTGTGTCTCTCCTGCTGATGCCATGCATGCAAGGGTCCAGGAGAAGCCCTACTGACAGTTTCTTTCTCAGTGACAGACCTAGAAATCAAGTTTGAGTATCGAGGAAAGGAGACTGGACCGACGACGACTGTAAGCAACCCGCAGGGATGCAGACTTTTCTACGGAGAGCTGGGCCCTATGCCAGACCAGGAGGAGCTCTTCGGGCCTATTAGTTTGGAGCAAGTAAAGTTTCCAGGAACGGAGCAGATCACCAATGAAAGGCAGAAGATCTTCACAAGTCGGCTGCTGGATGTTATGGACAGGGGACTGATCCTGGAGGTCAGTGGCCATGCCATCTACGCTGTCAGGCTCTGCCAGTGCAAGGTGTACTGGTCTGGTCCCTGCGCGCCTTCCTCCACCACACCGAATTTGATCGAGCGGCAAAAGAAAGTCAAACTCTTCTGTCTGGAAACGTTCCTAAGCGGTAGGTAGCTTCTGCTTCTGGAAAATAGCTTTGGATGCTGGTCTGGGCACTTGGTGGCGCTACTGGAAAGGGTGGTTTGCCCTGGGTGCACCGGTTGATTTGCTCTTGCATGGAGCCCGGGTAGGGGCCACGGCTTCCCTGCCTTCAGCGGACCATGGAGCAGGAACATGTCAGAAGAGAGTCAACGTGCGCTCATTTCATGCTCTGAAAATCACTGGTGGGCCTTGCTGTTAAAGAAGGCTCTTCTGGGTTTAAGAAATAAGCTGTAACTGTGTATGTGCAAGAGGCGGCTCTGGCAAAGGACAGCGTGTGGGTGAGACCTGGGCTGATCTAATGAGGTGGGATGTGCTGAGTGTTTCTAACTGAAGGAGGACAAACCCGCAGCGTTCTGCTTTTCTTCCTAGAGCTGATCGCCCATCAGAAAGGACAAATTGAGAAACAGCCACCGTATGAGATCTACTTCTGTTTTGGAGAAGAATGGCCTGATGGAAAGCCCAGGGAGAGGAAGCTGATTGTGGTTCAGGTAGGAGCTGAGGCTCTGAAGTTACACGTGCCAGCCTCGCTGGGGCCGGCGCTTTGGCTCCGGATCGATGCCCAGGGATAGCAGAGACCTGTTCTTCTCTGTTGTGGTTGCTGATGCTGGGAAACCCCAACAGGGCTGGTGGGTTTTGTCACGGCAAACACAAATGCTACGTGTGCCGAATAGCATCAGTCTGTGCGTGCGCTTTAGGTTATTGTGGAAACCGTCCCCTGCATCCAGGGCAGGGGATTCCTGCAAAGTGCCAGGAGCGTGCTGCGTGACCGTTAGGCTAAAACAACTTGACTTCTTCTTCAACAGGTCATTCCAGTCGTGGCCCGGATGATCTACGAAATGTTTTCCGGTGACTTCACGCGCTCCTTCGACAGCGGCAGCGTGCGGCTCCAGATCTCGACGCCTGACATCAAGGACAACATCGTGGCTCACCTGAAGCAGCTGTACCGCCTGCTGCAGAACCACCAGGAGGGGTGGCCCATGCAGGCCCCCGCCATGCACATGGCGCAGCCGCTCCCGGCGCAGTGACAGACGCTTTGCCTTGCCCCGTGGTTTCTGACGTTGTACATACGGGAAAGTATTTCTTTAGAGTGCCTTGCCTAAATCTGAATAAAATCTGTAAATCTGGTCGTCCGATTCAATCTCAGCAGTCTGCGGTGCTCTTTTGGAAGCGTTTAGAACAAGAGGGGATTACAGGAATACCTCTAGCTCCTTCACCGTTTTCAGCTGTTTGCTTAAAACAACCGATATGTATAAATCAGATTTTCAATTCTGTAATTTTTTTTTAATCCACTATTGATACATTGTATATAAATACTTGATCATTAGAGGGGGAAAGAAAATAATAATCTGCGCTCTATTAAAACCGCCTGGAGAATATCACCTTGTCTAGTTTTATTTCTTGAACTGGGCTGTAGCTGCAAGCTGGGAGGCTGATGCTTTATATATATATTATTTTTTTACACACACACACGATGTACACGCATCTATATGTCAAATAAACAGCCCTGCACCCTCTGAGGAGCCACCTGAAGTTGAAAGCACGCTTATTCCAGCTCTGAAAGCTGGGTGTATTGGGTTTCTGTGGCAAGGCCTTGGTAGGGGGGGGGCTTCTGTGAGAAACTGCTGGAAGTTTTGAGAGAAACAGCCCTGCAGACACCAAGGTCAGTGCAGAAGGAATGGGAGAAGGTGCTCCAGGCACCAAAGCAGATTCCTCTGCAGCCCATGGTGCAGCCCATGGTGAGGCAGGCTGTCTCCCCTGCAGCCCGTGGAGGTCCATGGTGGAGCAGATCTCCCCCTGTAGCCCGTGGAGGACCCCATGCCGGAGTGGGTGGATGCCCGACGGGAGGAGGCTGTGACCCTGTGGGAAGCCTGCGCCAGCTCAGGTTCCTGGCAAGACTTTGCGGACCTGTGGGGAAGGAGCCCACGCCGAGGCCGGTTTGCCAGCAGAACCTGTGACCCTGCAGGGGACCCATGCTGGAGCGGTCTGTTCCTGAGGGACTGCACCCTATGGAAATTATGAAACCACGCTGCAGCAGTTTGTGAAGAACTGTAGCCCGTGGGAAGGACTCACGTTGGAAAAGGTCGTGGAGGACTGTCTGCTGTGAGGGACCCCATGCGTGAGCAGGGAAAAGTCCTCTCCCTAGGATGAAGAAGTGGCAGAGACAACGTGTGATGAACTGACCCCAACCCCATTCCCGTCCCCCCTGCGCCGCTGGGGAGGGAGTAGGCAGAGAAACTGGGAGTGAGGTTGAGCCTAGAAAAGAAGGGAGGGGTGGGGGGAAGGTTTTTAAGATCTAGCAGTTTTTCTCCTCTCCGATTTTGATTGATAATACATTAATTTTTTTTTCCAAGTTGAGTCTGTTTTGCCCGTGATGGTAACTGATAAAATGATCTCTCCCTGTCCTTATCTCGACCCACGAGCTTTTTGATTTACTTTTTCTCTCCTCTGTCCGGTTAGAGGGGAGAGATAGAGAAGCTTTGGGGGGGCTCCTGGCGTCCAGCCAGGGCCAAACCCACCCCGCTGGCAGATGGCTCTATGCCGTGCTTCCCCCTCACGCTGCTTTCCCCAAGCTCGGGCTGAGGGTGATCGCAGCGACCTGCCCCCAAACGGCCTCTTCCTCCTCCATGAGGCCGCTCCGCCCGGACCCGCCCGGAAAGGCCTCTCCGCCCGGGCCCGGGCGGAGCGGCCTTTCCGGGCGG